GGACTCCCTTGCGTCTCAGAGCGCCCCACAGATTCTCGTGATTGAGACGGTCGAAAGCTTTTTCGTAGTCAATGAATACCAAATAAAGGGACTCTTGGAATTCATTGACCTGCTCCAAGATGATGCGGAGCGTGACAATATGGTCCACACAAGATCTTCCGGCACGGAATCCTGCCTGCTGCCCTCGGAGAGTCGCGTCGATCTTCTCCTGTATCCGATTCAGGATAACTTTGCACAGAACTTTGAGAACAATAAACAGTAACATGATGCCTCGCCAATTGTCGCACACAGTCAGATCCCCCTTCTTTGGGACCTTCACTAAGATGCCCTGCATCCAGTCAGCCGGAAAAGTTACGGTGTCCCAGATATTACAGAATAGTTGATGCAACATTTGTGCGGATAGCATGGGGTCAGCTTTGAGCATCTCTGCTGATATGCGATCGACCCCTCGAGCCTTGTTGGATTTCATGCTTCGGATAGCTGCTTCAATCTCCTGCAGTGATAGGGCCTCGGAATTGACGCGAGTGATGCGCCGCACCCTAGGCGGATCATGCCGAGATGTTGATGGCTGGTTGGCCGTCGAAACTTGAAGAAGTTGTTCGAAGTGCTCAAACCAGCGTTTCAGCTGGTCAGTGGGGTCGGTAAGCAATTGTCCAGTCGTGTCCTTCACTGGCACCCTCGGGTTCATCCTTGCTCCACTCAGGCGTCGTGAGATATCGTAGAGGAGGCGTATATCGCCAGTGTTTGCGGCTTTCTCCCCTTCGTCGGCCAGGGAGTTCACCCACGCTCGCTTGTCCCGTCTGCAAGAGCGCTTGACTTCCTTCTCTAGAGCCGAGTACCGTTGACGGGCTTCGTTCTTGGCTCCTCTGGTTCTCGCCGGCTTTTGCTTTTCTACGCTCCTCAATCTTCCGCCAGGTTTCATCTGTGATCCACTCTTTCCTCTGGGTGCGCAGCTCACCCATGTTGTTCTCGCTTGTTTCTATAAAGGCATTCTTGATGGCCGTCCATTGTTCTTCTACGCTGCCACCTTCTGGAACGTCCGCAGCTCGAGTCTCAAGCTCATGAACAAAAGACCTTTTTACCGCTGGATCTTCAAGTCGGCGTGTGTTGAACCGCCGCCCGAGTCTCTCCTCCCGTCGCTGGATCCACGCCATGCGTAGGCGGATTTCACCGATTAGAAGGTGATGGTCAGACGCGATGTCGGCGCTGCGTTTATTCCGGACATCAAGAAGGCTCCGTCTCCATTTTCGGCTGATGCAGATGTGGTCGATCTGATTCTCGGTATGTCCATCACGGGAAACCCACGTGACTTTGTGCACTGGCCGATGGGGGAAGAGGGAGCCCCCGATCACCATGTCGTTATTGCCACAAAATTCTGCAAACAGCTCACCGTTCTCGCTCATTTCGCCGAGACCATGGCGTACAATGACACGCTCATAGTCCGTGTTGTCGGAGCCGTTCTTCGCATTGAAGTCGCCAGTGTAGATCTTGATGTCACCCTTTGGAACCTTATCCACGACGGCATTCAGTTGACTGTAAAAATTCTCCTTGTCCTGTAGCTCGGCAGCATCGGTTGGCGCATAACATTGGATTATGGTAAGGTTACGAACCCGTGTTCTAAATCTGGCAACGATTATCCTCTCATTAACAGGCTCCCACTTGATGAGCGCAGCACTTGCCTGAACGCTAAGTAGGAGACCAACTCCACGATGGCGGGGAGCGTTTTCACCTCGAATACCAGAGTAAAGGGTGATACGGTCAAAATTTGGTCAATATCAACTTGACGTATTTCTTTCAATTTTGCATTTAAAAAACCTGAACACCCCTCATTTTGAAGGTGTGTGTGTGTAGAATGTTGCTCCTATTTTGATTTTGGAATTCACTCTTCAGTTGTCAAAATGCCGTCCAAGCAAGAAGAGCAGCGTATCAAAATTTTGCTCGCGCATCGCGAAAATCCGAGCTACTCGCACGCAAAGTTGGCAAAATCGCTAAAAGTTGCCAAATCAACCGTTACAAATGTAATTAAAGTGTTTGGGGAACGTTTTTCGACAGCCAGGAAGTCTGGATCGGGGGAAATCGAAAACCGGAAGCCACTGAGACGACAAAGAGAGTTGCCGGTAGTTTCAAGCGAAACCCTAACCTCTCTCTCCGAGATGCCGCAAATAAGCTGGGTGTATCGTCTACAACCGTGCATCGAGCCAAAAAACGAGCCGGACTATCGACTTACAAGAAGGTAGTGACTCCAAATCGCGATGATAAACAAAATACGACGGCCAAAGCGCGATCCCGGAGGCTGTACACGACGATGCTGACGAAGTTTGACTGCGTGGCAATGGACGACGAAACCTACGTCAAAGCCGACTACAAGCAGCTTCCGGGACAGGAGTTTTATACGGCAAAAGGAAGGGGAAAGGTAGCAGATGTTTTCAAGCACATGAAACTGTCAAAGTTCGCAAAGAAATATCTGGTTTGGCAAGCCATCTGTACCTGTGGCTTGAAAAGCAGCATTTTCATAGCTTCCGGGACTGTATAGTAGTAAAGCGTGAATTGCCGTTCATCTGCAAGCAAAGTATGCTGCCAACAAGATCGATTTTGTCCCCAAGCTAATGAATCCTTCGAATGGCTCGGAATTTCGACCAACCGAAAAATACTGGGCAATTTCAAAGCAGCGACTTCGACGAAGCGGCAGAGCAGTCAAGGACATCCAGCAAATGCGGGCAAAATGGAAGAAATGCGCTGATTCCGTGTCCGTTTACACTGTGCGGGCGCTGATGGGCTTCATCAAGAGGAAGGTTCGAGATTTCGTTCGAACTAGAGAAATGTAACCATCTTATGCTGTAACTTTGAAGTTTTTATAAAAGTACTGTAAAGCAACCATCAATGGATTTTTTAATCTTATTGAATCACGGATTACAGGTCTTTTTGAGCGTACCAATTTACTTTTATCAGCCTTTACGACGAAGTAGTGCTCTACCCTATCTCAAAATTTTCCATTTCACTCTGCTTTTAAAATGAAAGCTGCACTAGTGGGAAATTTTCATAGGTACAACTTTTGGAACAAATATGAGGAAAAAATTTAATTGATGATTCAAGTCACTGATGTCTTATGATTATGCTCAATCAACTGTACAGTAGGCAACATTGGCATCATCAGATTATCAATCTGTTAAACAAATAATAACTATTTAATTAGACGTTTGCCTGAAAAACAATTGTCTGCAAAGTTGTAGCTGAGAAAATTTTCCAAAAGAATAGCTTCTTAACTATTGAACTTTGCAATATGGAAAAAGGCAAGAAGACAATAAACTTAAAGTTTGGTGTCCCATAGAAATTTTCACATAAACTTCAAATGGTTTGAGCCAAGTCAGTTTCTTGCCACTGATATTACACTATTTATATCTGATGAGTGGAACAAATTTTATTTCTTATGAGCATAGATATTTTTTTTTTTTTAATTTGGAATATTTTCATTCAAGGTATAGGAAAATACGCAAGATATGAATTTACAAATATTCACTGAAATCTCTCCCTAAGCAGTTCAACACCCTACTATCAAAACAGGCTATTGCAAATTATTGAATTCCAAGGTTTGATCTCTGTGGAGATTCGAAAAATTGTTAAATGATATTTAAAAGCTTGCCGTATGGTTTACAAGCATCGAACAATGTCCTATAAAGTTGTGAATCAAATATTGACCTTTCCCGCTATGGACTACCTGGTGAATCAACACAGACCTCGAACGCAAACGATTGTTGACTGCCTTGACTGAAATTAGCAGGTTTTTTTTTCTGTGGTGACTCGTGCGATGTTTATGATGATCCCTGAACATTTCCAAACACCCACCCGGTTTCATTCAGAGTCCGTTGCTTACCGGCGGAGTTGTGTTTTGGATGTTATGAAAGTGGAGATCCTTTCACATCGCTTCAAGCTACAAGATTTATTGGCCATCGGCAACGACATTTGACACACTCTCAATCGGATTTGAATGTATAATTTTCCTGGTTTATACTTTCAGAAAAAGACGATTCCATAATCATTCAACAATGTTTCATTCAGTGTCAATCATGGGAACCGACATCCGTTCGGTTGCTGTTCAGTCGATGTGAACACCGAGGGTGTAATTTGTACGCACTTCCGTGTAGGAGAAATAGTCACATGGTCTGTCGCAATTACCTGGACGCAGTGGTACCACTGATAGCCAGCGTAGCATTTACAACCATCTGCAGATAAATAGTCCTCTGTATCCACTATTACTCTCACGGTAGTTTTGCATACCATAAACAAGATGGTAACGATAGTGAATGCGAACGTTGACAAAACAAGCCTATGTCTATTTCCTGTTTATGAGTTTATAGGAACATCAGAGGTAGAGCTAAGGCCTACCTAGTGGACTTTATCACACCACTTCCACAATTTCCATCCAAGAATTTGGGGTACGACACCACACGACCGCTGAGACTAATTGAAAAAATAACAGCATTTCTCAATTATCACAATCATGAATTTGTTCACATGTCAGGATAGGATCAGCTGCTAAATTCAACCCTGACAATACCTATATGAACAAATTTTTCCTAAGCCACCGTCTTCAGTGTTGATAAATATATCAAAACATTCAAAGCACACCACATCCCGTCAATGATCGTACAGCTACCATTCATCATTTCCCTCCGACAACCAGCTGATTGGTTGTAATTCTTCAAATTGCTCTCCAACAAACATGACCCGGACGAGATGCAATGCGGTGCGGAAGTTACCGCATTCGTGTGGCCATTTTTGAAGTCCAAGTTCTCCAATTATGTGGCACTTAACACGGTCCCCTCTGCTACTGGAATTTGTCATGCTCTTCTGATGCCGTCGTGTTGAGGTATCTTGTTGAAGTATGCCTACTTTTCTCTCTCTCCCTCGACTCGAGACGAGCTCCATCTCAGACGTATCTAAGCGGTGTTGTTTTTTTCTCACTACCTTTCCTCTTCTCTGCCTCCCATTTCACCTCGTAGGACCCCTGGAGACCTTAGCGGCTACGTAAGTTGTCCGAGCGGAGATTGCACTGACGATAGCTGAAAGTGAAAGAGTTTCCGAACAAGAAAAAAAAACATGTGGTAGTTAAATGTTGAATAATGTTCAAGGGAAGGCCCGCTGCAGAAGTACGCACCACGATCGATGTGTTTGGAACAGAAGAAGAAAGTGAAATGAAGAGATTATGAGAGTACGAACACGATTAAAACATCAGCTTGGATGCCTACATAGTTGAAGAACACAAATAAAAACAACAACCAGCGATCGTAAACCGTAAAATAGCCAAGCTTGACGTGATCGTGTAGATTCACGTCATCCGATAGGAAGTTGAAGTTCAAGACTATTGCGAACGAAAAAAGAAAAAAACAGTGAATCAAACGAAAGAAACCAGTGAATAATTGAAACAAACAAACAAACCATCGAAAGACGGCACAGAAAATGAAGTTCAATTACACGGCTGTGATAGTGACCGTTGGCGTTCTGCTGGCGGTGGCGGCACGAAGATGTCGAGCAGCGGCCTGGTACAGCAATCAGACTGATCTGGATCACCGAGGCGGGCGCTTTTTGTTCGATGCACTCTTCGGCATTGATACTGCCGGCTTTTCGCTCGATGACGACGGGCCGGATTTGCCCAACGAGGTCAAGAGCTGTGATTGTGGTGAGTTGAAATGGAGCATTGTTTTATCTCGCTTTAGCAATTTCAGAAGTTTACTGGGATGATTCATGCTAGATTTTTAAATCCACTGCACAGTGGGTCAGGAATTAAATCAAGCAGAAAAAAAATATTATTCTCAGGGATTGCATCCAACAGAGTTGACGTCTTCAGTGAAGTTTGTTGAATTAATTAGGACTAAAATTAGGTAGGTACACATAGTTCAAGTTTTGGCCGCAAAGATGGTGCAGCGATACAAACTTTGTTATTTCATAAGATAGAGGTTTGCTGTCTCGGGTAAAATTGTAGAACGTAAAATTTTTTAAAAAAAATGTTGGACACATAAAAGCTGCACATCTTCAAACAAAGGGTAATGGATGTAATGTCGGCCTATACGCCCCTAATTTGGGTCCATACATAAATTCAGCAATCGACTAAATTTTCAATAGTGACCAAACATATCCATTAGTACTGTCCCTATGACACGTTCATCTAGATAAAATTGATAAATAGCAGATTTTTAGCTATGGGGCCCAATCTTAGATCCATAGGCTAATATTAAAGCCATTTCCCCTACATGAAATTTTTTTTAAATTTGCCTGAAATTCACGTTTTAATACTGTATTTTGAACAATCGTTCAAAAGAATACTTTTATCATGTTTCCTCGATTGGTACTGATCAATCCAATCTTTTCCATATGAATACTAATAATTTTAGAGTACAAAAAAATATATAAGGGAAATAGATCTAATGTTGGTCTGTGCATCTAAGATTGGGCCCATCGCTGAAAATTTGTTATTTATCAATTTTATCTAGATGAACGCGTCATTGGGACGGTACTAATGGATATTTTTGGCCGCTATTGAAAATTTAGTCGATTTATGAATTTATGTATGGCCTTTTTTATTTCGTGTTGTCTAAAGGGTGTCCCACATCAAATTGGCATATTAATTTCATTCAACTTCAATGCCATAACCGTACGCTCGCACCTTACGCTGAACTCCACTCATTAGGTTCTATACAACATCTGGCAGCAGCTTCTTCTGTACGGAAACCCACTTTTTCTTCATGTCTTCCTCATATTTGAACTCCTTGGGATACTTCCGTAGTGCCTGCGATGCCTATCGATTTGGAAATAGCTCAATATTTTTCGATGGGCCTTAGTTCCGGTGCGTTGGGGGGTTTATGTCCTTGGGTACGAAAGTGACCCCGTTGGCTTCGTACCACTTCAGGACAACATTTGAATAGTGGCACGAAACTAGATCCGGCCAGAAGATCGTAGGGCCCTTGTGTTGCTTTAACAGAGGAAGCAGACGCTTCTGAAGACACTCCTTGAGGTATATCACCCCGTTTACAGTCCCGGTAGCTACGAACAGCGCACTCCATTTGCCACATAAGCAAATCGCTTGCCAAATCATGTATTTCTTGGCAAACTTTGAAAGTTTCTGCTTCCTTACTTCCTCCGGAACATCAATCTTGTGCTGGACGGTGAAGAACAGTAGCCCCGGAAGCTGCCGGAAGTCCGCCTTGACGTAAGTCTCATCATCCACCATACGGTGACTTTCCCACCGTATTTTGCCGTTCGTCACGAATTGGAGCCTTCTACACTTTGTACGTATGCAGCCCTTCCCGGTTCTTGGCTCTCTGAACGAAGACTTGGACAGATTCAACTTTTTGGCCGCATCACTGACCGTAGCATCGGGATTCCGCTTGAACGCTTTCACAACACGCTGGTGATTCTGATCATTAATAGAACATCCATTCTGACTGCATTTCTCCTTCCGTTCGATGCTCCTAGTTTCGTAGTAACGTTTAATCATACGACTCACCGTTGACTGCACGATGCCGAGTTGTTTTCCGATTTCCCGATGAGAGAGTTGAGGTGCTTACGCAAAATCAACGACGTTCTTCTTCTTCTTCTTCTCATTCTTCTCCTTCTTCTTATTCTTCTTCTTCTTCTCCTTCTCATTCTCCTTATTCTTCTTCTTCTTCTTCTTCTTCTTCTTCTTCTTCTTCTTCTTCTTCTTCTTATTATTATTATTATTATTATTATTATTATTATTATTCTTCTAGTCATAGGAGCTGTCAAACTTCCACTGTTCAATGGCACACGGTTAGAAAAAAGTACCCAAAATTAAGTTCTTTTCACTCATCTCGGCACTATAGTGCAGGAACCCAAAAGTAGGTAAAGCAGGTCAAAGTAATTATCATTTACTTGTGTGCAGTTCGTATGGAATTTTCCACTGGCTTTTTAACCAAAAATACGTTAGTTGTACCCAACAGTAGGTAAATATGATTATACTCAACGTTGAGTTCCCACACTTTACTCCCTGTTGGGTGGTTTTGCTCCTCCGTTTTTGACAACATTAGAAGGAGAAAAGGAGACAAACTAGTCAAAAGTAGGTAAAAGTGAACTGGCCGTTGGGTACTTTTTTCTTACCGTGCACAGCGTATTCGCTATAAAGCCAATTCGCAACGTTGCTTTTCGGGTGGCGCCATTTTTTACAACTTTCGAAAATCTGACAGCGATAAAAATACAGCGTAAACAATACACTCTAAACTACTTCTACTAGAGAAAATACCCACGTGTTTTCCGTGATGCAATTTGTTGTGGGACACCCTTTACGCTTTCGACTATACCACCAAGCTGTTTATTCAGAGAAAAATTAGCAATTGACAATCGTCACTGACAGCCAATGCCAATAAAACTCTGAACGAAAACCATTCGCAGAAGGCTAAAGGGCGAACACAAAATTATTGCAACACCAAAAATGTCATGCCAATTTTCTTATAATGTTTAGAATCAAACCAAAATTTTAGGGTAGTTTTATACATATATTTACTTCAAAAATCAAAAGAAAAGTTAATCGATGGAGCCTTGAGTGTAAAATTGAACGCAATTTCGCTTGATGCCCTCCATCAAAGTCTTTACAGTGTCATCCGGTACCAGTTTCTCAGTTTTTTTTCCATTTTCTTAACATGTCCTTCTCGTCTTTGACTGTCTTCTTGCTCTTCCGAAGTTCCCGCTTCATTATTGCCCAGTACTGCTCCACCAGGCGCAGCTCCGGACAGTTTGGCGGATTCATGTCCTTTGGAACAAAATGGACAGAATTGGCCTCATACCACTCCAGAACACTTTTAGAATAGTGGCATGATGCCAAATCTGGCCAAAATAGCGGAGCTTCGTCGTGCTGCTGCAAGAACGGCAAAAGGCGCTTCTCGAGGCACTCAGATTTGTAGATCTCGCCATTTACTGTGCCCTTTGTCACGAAAGGCTCACTCCTCAGTCCGCAAGAGCAGATGGCCTGCCAAATGAGATATTTAGAGGCGAACTTCGACATTTTCTTCTTCTTAAATTTGTCGTCCACATCGAACTTGCTCTTGCCGGTGAAAAACTCCAACCCCGGAATTTGCTTAAAATCGGCTTTTATGTACGTTTCGTCGTCCATCACACAGCAGCCATATTTTGTCAGCATCTTCTCTTAGAGCTTCCGTGCCCGAGTTTTAGCCGTCGATTGTTGCCGCTCATCGCGGTTTGGGAAGTTCTGTACCTTGTATGTATGTAGTCCAGCTCTCTTCTTTGCATTCTGGACGTAGCTCTGCGACATGCCGATCTTTGTAGCCAAATCACGGCTTGAGACGTTGGGATTTGCTTTAATCATCCGCTTCACCTTTCCCTCCGTCTTTTTGTTCTCCGGTCCCGGTTTTCTTCCAGCTCCTTTGCCGTGGTCCAACGTCAACCGCTCCTGGAACCGCTTCAACACTCTGGAGACGGTTGAATGGTGAATGTTCAACATTTTTCCCAACTGCCGGTGCGACAGGTCAGGAAATTCCAGGTGTTTGGAAAGAATTTGTTCTCTCAACTCGCGTTGGTTCACCTCCATTTTCGTTGAATCGAAAAACACGACTTCGAGTTTGACAGCATGTACACAATACACATCAATGAGAAAGTGTGCAAAATTTGGTTGATTTTTACCCAATGGTAAAAAAGTTATGTCCTGTTGAATGTGTCACAATAATTTCGTGTTCGCCCTTTATGTCCTCATAACAACGCGAAAAGCATCACAAAACATCAATAAAACTATTTTGGTTCGGAATAAAAATCGTAGATAAATTAAGTTTTTGTGCGGATTTATAGCGTGTTATCCCCGATTTGCATCATTTAGATGGAAGAAAATAAAGATTTAAAATATTTTAAGTACAAAGTGATGCAGTCAATTATCGAGGTGACAATCCAGTCGCCGTACAATCAAATCATGCCTAAAAATATACCGAAAGTTCATCCTGCATTCTAGGCTGCCATCTAGTTGGATTAGGAAAGTCAACACGTTCGAAGCTGTCAACCAAGCCATCTAGCGGGTCAGTGGAAAATAGTTAATTTCGTCCTTAAACGGGCAATAAGCGATATTTGTTGCTCTCAAACTTCCGAAATATATTTCATGGTAAAATGCTTGATATTCGGGACCAACAGAGTTCTTTGATATCCGTTGAACCTCTCTTGAAAGAAAATGAAGATTAAGAATCAGATATAATTGATCCGGTTGTGATTACATATTAGTGTCAAATATGCCCGAATCTATGTGTCAGAATGCGTCTCAGAAGATATTTTTTTTTATTAGATCTGGATTTTATAAAAGTTTGGAGTCTTTAATTCATTTAATAATATGTTTTTGTGTCAGTGTTTGGAATGTATGACAGCTGTGGTGATGATGATGATGATGATGGTCCCACCGCTTACCCCTACAGAGCTTTGAGCTGGACGATTTATCTTTAATATAATTAAAGATGACATTTTAACCAGGTTAGCAAACAAAATCGAACTGGTTTCAGTTACAGATATAAATTCCCTCTAGATTTTACAGTTGCTTCACAGCGATATAAATGTGGAAAAGCTCAGGCTTCTACCTCTTAGTTCGCCTTTTTGTCCACCTAAAATATTCATAAGTATTACAAGCGATCAAGAGTTAATGAACAATCAGCAAAGCATCCTATTACACTAGCAACC